ACTGCTATGCGATTCTCTTTGTCACCCCACTCCATGTTTACTGCACGCAACACAACAGCCAAAATGTTACCAAACAATACGGGAGATAATACACTACACGATTACCAGGTTACACGTTTCTAGCTTCTTTCGCTAGAATGCAAGAAACATGTAAATCTTGTAACAGTATTTATGGCAGAACTAGGTAATATGGATGAGAGCAGCGGCTTAATTTGGCTCATGAGCTTAGGGTGGGCAATGTAGTGGAATGGGGGCTGCTCTCTCTGGGGGTTGTCTGTTCAATCCCCCTTTTACTCATAGACCAACATTTATGATTGTACTTGGCTATTCTCTTGTTATTTCCCGCGTTAATGCTCTCGCTATCTGACAAAAAAGAGGGCTGCCAAGGCCTGTTGGGGAGATGCTTAACGAAGGTACTAGAGGGCAAAAAAATCTCTTTGAGGGGGTGCGTGGCACTTCCAAGGGATGCCAAGAGAGGCAGCCATCTTCCTGTTCAAGCCACTGAATAAGAGCACTGCAAAAGTTGAACACCAGCGGAAAGCGGGTTTCACTCTTATTCATGCCATAACATTCATGCGATCGCCGTTCACAACTCTAACAAAACCTTTTGAGGCGAGGGCCTCATGGACACCTTGGTCCTCCTTGAGTGGGCCGTATTAAAAAAGATTCAACATTTCTGCATGGTTAACTGGCCTTGGTCAACTCTTGGTCAAGCTACTCCAAACTTGAAAGTCCCATTTTAAAAATGAGCAGCAATCGAAAACTGCCTATTCCTACTGCATCCACACACCTCTCGTAGTCACGGAAGTTGCCACTACTTAGAGTCAGGGCTCATGTAAACGTAGCGTTTCTAGGTGCTATTTTGCCACAAGTTGCATTTTCGATAATTACTCCAATATTTTCTACTTAACTTCATTTAATTGGGTAGTAAAGCATTTTTCTCTTTCAATTTTGATATTTTCGAATTGATGCTTTTGAAAATGCTGGATTTCAGTGCTTTTTCCTCTGTTGTGTTTTATATGACTTCTACGGTTATTCATTCGGAGATTCAAAGGAGTATTAGTTTGGCCCACGTAGCCCATGCCACAAGTTCCACATACAATCTTATAAACCAGATTCCTCAACTTGCAATAGGGTAGAGAAGATTGGACATTACTTGAATTTGAGACATATTTGCAGGTACAGCACCTAGATGAACCACATACCTTTGTAGCCGAGAAAAATAATTGCATTTGGGTGGCTGGCCCTCCTGCAATGGAATTCCAGAAAGGTTCCAAATCCGACATCCTTATAATCACCTGACAGTAAGAGAATAGACTAGAAAATGGGGAAGACTAACACTTTCTAGCAAAAGATGCTGTGAAAAGCATCAATACAGTGGGGAAAGCAATATAATTAAATCATGGGATTTTACAACCCTGTACACCAAGATCCCCCTGAAGTTACTTCATGAAAATCTCGTAGCTCTCTTTGAGAGATTCATACCTATTGGTTGCTGCATGGGCATACAAATACAAGAGTAATGGCAAAGAATACTTTTCAGACGTATTGAGGGAAAGCTTGGACTTCAACCACATTCGAGTTGGAAATAGAATCTTCCGACAAGTAGTCGGCTTACCAATGGGCAGTAATTATTCAACTAACATGACCAATCTTTTCTTGTTTTACTATGAATCTCTTCACATGAAAAATACTTCCTTTTCGTCAGAATTTAAATTTACGTTTCGTTATATTGATGACCTTTTGGCGATTAATGACAAAATGAATGAGGACATCAACATCATTTATCCAGATACAATGGAAGTGGAAGAAACAACCAATCCTCCATTTGATGTACAAGATGCAAGGAACAGCTACTACGTAACCGTATGATCATGGATGATGCCAGAAACAGGAAGAAGAATCTCTCGATGGCATGGATCGACTACCAGAAGGCAAACGATTCGGTACCCCATTCATGGATCATCGAGTGCCTCAGGATGTACAAGATCAACCCTGTGGTGGTCAACTTCCTACAACAGACCATGCCCCGCTGGAAAACGGTCATGTCCCTAAATGGACAACACTCCACCCTGACAACCCGCGAGATTTCCATCAAACGCGGGATCTTCCAGGGAGACAAGCTGTCTCCACTCCTCTTCTGTCTGGCTCTCAATCCACTCAGTGCCGAATTGGCTCGGACTGAATGTGACTATTACGTAGGAAAAGGGAAGAATGCAGACCATTGCATGAACCACCTTCTCTACATGGACGACCTGAAACTCTACGCCTCCAACGAGAAAGAGCTCGATAGCCTACACAACGTCGTCAGCATCTCGAAAGACATCTGCATGAAATTCGGACTTGACAAGTGCGCGAAACTCTCTGTCCACCGCGGAGTCCTCACCCCTATGGGAGAAATCACCACCATCAACTCCGAGAGCTCACGGCCCCTGACATCTATAAATATCTCGGTGTTGATGAGAACTCTTCCATGGCTGCCAAGCGCACGAGGCAGAGACTGACGACAGAATTTAAACGCAGAGTCCGCCTCGTACTAAAGACCGAGATGTCCGGCAAAAATAAGATCTCTGCCCAGCATCCCAAGATCATGGATAGACCATCGATCGACTCGGACGTCAGCTATAACTGGCTTAAGAAGGGACTGTTGAATGCCGAGACAGAGAGCAACATCCTAGCCATTCAGGACCAGTGCATTAGAACTCGTAACTATGAGAAGCACATCCTGAAGCCGGATGTGGAAGACCGCTGCAGATGCTGTCATGGACCACCCGAAACGGTTCACCACCTCCTCAGTGCCAGCCCCGAACTAGCCAAGAGGGAGTACTTGTATAGGCACGACCAAGTGTGCAAATATGTGCACTGGTGTGTCCAAGCAAGCCGGCCTAGAAGTCCCACAGAAGTGGTACGAACACCAGCTAGAGTCTGTTGTGGAGAACTCCTCCACCAAGATACTATGGGACATGCCTATGATTACAGTCCGCACTCTAGGCTGCAATAGGCCGGACCTCACAATCTATAAGAAGGAGAAGAAGACCGCCCTCCTCGTAGATGTGAGCATCCCAGGTGATAACAACCTCCAGGAAAAAACCATGGAGAAGCTGGAGAAATACTCCGAACTGAGAGTGGAAGTGGAACAGTTGTACGGACTGAGGAACTCATTGGAGACCGAGCAGCATGTATGACGTAGTCGTCCCTCGGTGTGGTCTTTCGTGGCCGCCCAGACGGCTTTCTGAATTCATCCCCCCCCCCCCGAATTCGCAAATTTCACGACTGCATTGTGAACAGCAGTGTTACTACACTTTAACTTCTCACTAATCGCTCTGGACTTCCGTGAGTGACGCTTTTTTACCCATTTTCGTGGGTTTTTAGAAAAGGCAAAATAAAGCGAAATTCGGCGTAATGGAGTGTTTACTGCGTGATGGTCAATTGAAAAGTAACTACAATAGGCCGACGTAAGGATGACGCAATCTCATGCAATCAATTTCATTTCTGATGCAATCACTGCGTTCAGAAGAAACGAGTATGTCTTCTGAAGGGTGGTCTTAAACATATGGCCACGACTGTGTATATATATACTGTATATATATATTGTAATGTGTACACGGGGAAATATAAAATGTTAAGGTATGGGAATACGGAAACGGAATGTAGAAGTGTGCACCTAATGCAAAAAAAACAAGTGCATTGTGCGACAGTACTTATAGAGTTATGGTCACACCCTCGGGGTTCAGCGTTGAATACTTTAGACGAAAATAAAGTCATGGGATACGCATCATCACATATAATCGATAACCCATGTCGGACCAGGAATCTGGAGCAGAGGAACGCTACAGATACGTTTCTATCTCCAAATGGATATTCTCTATTACAATTTTATGCAGTTCAGCCATGACACTGCGTTTACTTTCCAATTGCGCAAGTGCAGTGTGTGCACGCTATGGATACTGAATAAAAAGAGTGCAAAATCGATTAATTCATTGGACATCAACCAATCATGAAGGTTTTGATCATGGTACCGTTGCTATAGTAGACGGAACAACATTGAAGAGAGTTTTCTGGACATTTAATAGCGCACGGAACAAAGAAATCCAGAGTAGAAGCTGCTGCTCAAAGCTGTAGTCCAGGTGGAAGGGCGGCTCATCAACTATTCCACCAGCGAGGCTCGCAATACTATGAAGAAAACCGGGATGAGGTTCAAAGGTAAGTGGCCAGCAATATCGCCGGATTTGGCAATAATTTTTGGCTGTGGGGGCATCTGAAGGAGATGGTTCGTGTCATTGAACCCCAAAAGTGGTTGTCAGTAAACCCCATATTCGTCTATTTTGGGCCATATTCTTTTGGCCATGGCTAGAAAACCAATGTATGATTTTCCCCGTCGATGTTTGATATGTTCCAATATTCAACGAGGTCGCTTCGAATAGATGCCACGTTGAAACGTCGATGCCACATTATTCATCGAAGCCTTTTCTTGATTTCATATCTCCTTTTCAGTTCATACTGGTGAACGTGATGTGTATTATTATTTATAAAAAATAGTCGTTGCTTAATCCCTAACCAGGCACTGGGGTCCATTGGACAGCTAAGGGTGTTTTTCATTGCATAACCTTCTCACATGTTTTTATTTTTATTTTCTGAACATGCAATATATCTTTCTTAAAGGAATATGAAAGGTACATTTAACGAATCTTTCATACTTACATCCTCAGCTTAAAGAGTAGTTTTTAAGTTTTAATATACAGTACTTTGAAGGAAAAAAATTAAAATGTTTGTTCTTGCCCGTTACAAGGAATCATGGGAAGAATAATAGAATCCGCGTTTTTTGCTTTTCCTCCTAGAAACAACGTTCATTGCAAATAAATCTTACGTAATTGTAAATCTCAAGTTACTTTCCAAGACATCCATTTGAAAAAAGAAGTGGATTAAGGAAGCTAAAACGATTTTTAAAAAAACATTGGAAGAGAAAGGAAACATGATTTCCATTAATGAACGTTTTATCTTTCATGCTTCTCAGAACCGAATTCTAAGAAGAGACTCAGCGCTCGGCGGCAGAGCACCAAACGGCATCCTGGGTGTTGGGCTTGATAAAGCCGTTCACGTATTCTGGAAACAGAAGGCACGCGTCAGAATCGGCCCGGAGACATATGCGCATAGCCGGTTTTGCATCCACTCACTCGCCGTCTTAATGTAGACTCCTCCAACGCCGCTGTAGCATTCCTTGGTGGGCGAGGAAATGATCCCGAGTTGTTGGTAGAAGCCAGCCTCGGTTTCGAGCATGAACGGTCCGCCGACGTCGCCCTGAACGGAACCGGCTAAAATGAACTCTTTCGGCAATTTTCCTCTATTTCTTTTTCCGATCGGTTGGTAGACTCACGTTACAGAAGTTCCTTCCGCCTTCATTAGCACAGAAGTTGTCGTCGTTGACGAGGGTGCCCTGATAGTTCTTGCAATCCACCTCCCTCAAGATGGTCGCTGTCGACTCTTTCATCACCGTGCTGATCCCCGCTAGGAAATCGCAGACCGAGTCCATGCAAGAGGAGGGGATCAAGTTTCTGATAACTCGAAAGCAATCTCGTCGCGAAAATTCTTCTTCCATTTAAAAGAGAATAGTACTCAAAGCAAACCTGCTGAAAGAGAAATTCATTGAGATACATGTTTCAGATTTTTTTTCTTTGGTAGCATTAATTCTAGCATTCGTGATGAATCCTCCTTTTAGCAATCTTAACGGTGTGGAGTAATTAACTCTCAGGCGAGAAAGAAAGTTCAGGATATGATGGTGCGTGTATTGTAAGCGGACCAGAGAGGGACGCGAAAAAAAGAACTTGCTTATTCCATTCTACTCCATTTTTCAATCCATCTTTCGAAGAATCCCTGCGAAAGCGATTACTTTTCCTTCGGAAAGACAAAACATGTTGACACGCTCGTCGAGTCGAGCAGTCAAGAAATATGTAATAGGTGTCGAATGAGATACTAGAAATTAGGATATCGGAAAATTGGGAATTTCAATAAAAATTTCAGGGTAAATTAATGGAGTGAATTGATCAGTTAAAAACGTGGACCTTTGTCTTTCCCTTAAAGGGATTACTAAGTTAATGAAAGAAGAATTTTAACAATTTCGCCGAATTAGTGATTCCTTCACCATCAATGAATATTCCCCGTCCGTTTCAACTCCCACAGGCATGCGTCTCGATTGGATGCAGGCAATTACTCACGTCCGCCATCGTAACCCCATCCCGCGATTCTGCCGATTAGTCCCGGAATTGGCAAGGCATAGGCAGAAGTACAGATGGGACGGATGCGAGGGAAAGCTTGGAAGTCCACCGGAGAGAAGAGCTTGAGCAGAGCGACGTCGTTCACTTTGGAAACCGGGTCGTACTGCGGGTGGATGATGGCCCGTGCTGGCAGCCGAATGGATTGACTTTCGGTCTTCGTCGACCAGTCTAAATCTCCAAGGGTCACATAGAAAGTGTCCGATGGGCTAAGTATTTCGAACATGGATGAAACGGTCATCAATGGTCAAAGACCGATCATATTTCAACAGGGACAGGGAGTGTTCGAAAATTCGAGAGAAGAGATGAAACGAAAGAAGAATCGAGACCTCTGATCGACGCATTGAGCTGCAGTGAGGACGTATCGATCATTGATGAGGGTACCCCCACAGAATTCTCCTTTATCTTGGAAGTGTGCCATCCAGGGATACTTCCCTTCGTAAGGAACGGCCAATCCAACCCAAATCCGATCCAGGTTGGGATCGGTCGCGTTGGTTCGGACATCGACGGATCTCTTGCCGCTCGGAGGGGGGCTCGCAGGAATTCCGCATTCTGGTAATCAGACTCGGAATGAGGAATTGATGTACCTTCAGGAACCATGTCGTAGGATAATTGTATGAGTCCACACTTACTACAAGGAGGAGTGGAGCTTTGACCTGGAAAACATTAGAGAATTCGCAATTATTTGGTATATCCCTTTTTTCTGTTTTGACTTTTTAAAGCATTGTTTGACCTTTTCCCAGGGGATTATTTTCACGATTTCTTTTTAATCCCAAGAGAATTCACAAATCGGGAAAAGAAATAACGAAGGCGTGTAGTTCAGGACTCAATCTCAACAGTTAGCATCAGGGCGAGTAGAGGAGGGAGTGCTCGACGACCGAATTTCACCAGCTAGGAAATTGCGATGGTCATTAAAGAAGTCGAACGAACGACAAATTCAAAAGATTTTGTCAAACATAGTTTGATGTTAAATCATAACAATTTGATTTAATTTGGTGGTAACTTTTTAAGGAAACGCCCGATGCAGTTGATCGTTGATAGAGATTTTCATGGGCGTAAAACACATTAGTTCCATACTTCACCATGTATATGGTCATGGCATTGGAACACCGTCTACACATGGGATAACTCCCATGTTTGTCATAATAGATTTAATGCTAAAACGAGTGGGTTGCAACCCATGTTGCAACGAAAACGCTCCCCGCTTTTAACACAGGAATATTTTTTGCACAACGTGCTTACGGTACAATGAAGGGTATCGGTAAACCAAGAGGCTGTAAGATGACTAAAAACGATGATCTACTGACCGCATGTGACACTACAGTCGAATCCTGGTCCACTCGCAAGAGAAGCGTAGAGGATGGCTGTGAAACTCTTCCCCACATTCACCGGATTTTTGAAAGGATTTGATGTTCCACATGCCCTGAAAATTTGGAAATTCGACAATGGGATATATGTTTCGTTCGGCATGAGAACGCGAGCCAATGGAGCCCACCTTTTATCTCCGTAGAGAAAGGCCGACTGCCAGCACAGAGGGGTATCGGGCAGTTGAAAGTCTGCGCATTGGAGCGTCATGTCGGAGGAGCACTGTCGAGAACCGTGCCATCGTGTTGTTACAGTGGCACTTTGAACGGAAGAGAAGCAAGGGAACTCACGGTGAAAATCCAGTTGCAGCTGTGCCAAGACGGGTAATTGTCTGGATAGTTCATGCTGACGAGCGGTTGAGACTGGCCCGGTTGAAGCTGGACTCTCCTTCCACATGAAGGTTTTTGGCGATTCTCTGGAACAGGAATTCTCCTTCGGTGCGAGATAATCATGAGACACGCGATGGACGTAATCGACGCGAGTGCAGGGATTACCAGGCAGACCAATCGGAGATGACCACGATCCAGCATCCTCGCTTCCACTCCCCGCTAAGCTCTGTTGAAGTTCATGATGTTGTTTTAATCTTAGTTTCCCTTGGAAATGAAGAACATGCACAGATAGACCTGGACTGCGGCGCAGAACAGAAGAGTGAGAAAGGCGGAAAAGACGTGAATCTCCATGTTTGATGTGATGAGTGAATTTTCAGTTCTGTACTCCGCACTTGTCAGTATCCAGCATTTATGGCCTCGGTCATCCTTGGAAAGTCCATTTGGCAGGTCGTTCCCCTCCCGCAAATGGGCACTTTATTTTCGCACGTGTAGCACGCTGTTTTCCCATTACATGAGATGGCCGTCTGCCGTCAACAAATTGCTATCCTGCAGAACTTCTTATTTTCCGCATCGCCATCGTCTGCCTCCCCGACATGTGGTACAGGAATACTTTTTTCCCGATTGAATTTTCCCAACTCAGTCATTTCAGGGGGTATTTAAACCGAAACATAACTTTCCGATTAAGACTTGAAGTTTCAAGATGCCATAGCAAAACAGGTATAACAACCTTCAAGTAATAGACCCGGGCATGTGCACCATCATAATAGCTTGATGACAGTTTCATAGTCTCATTAGCCTGTTCGCGGGCATGGACCCATATATGGGTTTTAAAATTTAGCGCTTTGACGGGCCTTCGAAACATACCATACGGAAAAGCAGTTCTGACGGTACCGGTAAGTCGAAAAATTGTGTACATGCTTATATATATTGTATATATATAGTTTCTACATCACATACTGTACATGAAGAACATGAACAAAAATACTCTGAAGGAGCATGTTTTCCGAAGGTGTTGAAAAGTGTGAAAAAATTGGCCCTTGAAAGAGTTAAAGAGTTTCGCGTTCATCATCTGGAACAAGGTAAGTCTGGGTAAGTGCGATCAATGGGAAAGATTAATCAATCCTAATTTTTGGTACTTAGAAGTTCACTATGCCATCAAATGAGTATGCATTAAGAAGTTCCTTTTTAAGCAAATCCTGTTTCATATATCTCGTCAAATTTCACTGGTTCAACAGAGATATTTCATGAAATACCTTACATCTCTTTTATTTCTTTCATAGTGTTATAAATTTTTTTCCTTTTGACTATATTTAAGGAAGATTAACGTACGCATCCGATAATGCCTCTATCATGAATCCCTCTTTCCTTCAGACGCCGTCCTTCTTCCCCCTACATCTAGAGAGTGACACGCTTCATGAAAAGTCACATTTCGACCAGATTTGTTGTCTAGATTCCACCTAACGAGTGGTATAAATTTTGAATTTGTGCGCCTTCATTTTAATCTAATCCCTCCCAAATCGGACCATCCTCAATCTCACCTCTCCTGGGAAGTCAGGCAACGTTCCGTCTTCCTCAAGCTTCTCCAAAATTCCTTGTCTCATGAAACATGCTTTTTGAGACAAGCGATAAATGAATGAATTCAAAATAATAAAAGAACAAAATTTCGTCTAGTTTCCCGGATTGAATTTGGTAAGCTTCAGTGAAAAGAACGGCAACCATACCAAGTTTGACTAAATTGTCAACATTTCCACATCGATACCTTATGAAGAAGGCGGGATACTTTCCCCTCCTTCCAATATATATTTTTTTTTTGCGTCATCTCTCCAAGCTGAGCCTAGCCACGGGTCTTATTCCCAAGGCATTCGGCTCATCATATTCAATCACCCGTATTCAAAATGAAGAGACATGGAGGAAATATCCTAAAAATTGTTGAACTCCTCTACAAAGAGCAGCATCTACAAAACAAGTTCGGATGACCAAGCCATGAGGTAAGATGTGCGTCCTGAATTAAAAAAAATGATAATCTTAACAGCAAATGCATGCGATCGTGGAATTGAATCAACACCTGATCTATGTTGATCAGGCGGATGCATGTTCACCAGTCATTTTCTAACAGATACATTATACAGGGTGTTCCAAAAGAAACTACCCACTATTTGAAGATGCATAACTCGGAAAGTAAAAGGCGTAGACCAAATAATGTGACACCACTTTGTAGACCAGAAAGTTCTCTTTACGATGGTGTAAGGAAGTTCACTCAAAACAGTTCCGTTTGAATGCTGCCAACGTCTAGACATTTTTCGGACCAGTAATTGTGAGACCAGGGATCAATTCCTGGCCATTATTTGCCTTTTTTGGCTTCTCTTGCCTTCCATGACCCGTTGCTTGAATAAGACTGAGAGACATGGAAAGCTGATACGTGGAATGGATGTGCCTACCGACGCGATGAGTTCAGAAAAAATGCCAAATTTTATATCCATGCCCCTGGGGACATTTTTTGGGGGCCAACGATTTCAAGTTTTTTTTTTTGTGTATTGAGCTAGTGTGGAAAGGTGAAACTTGGTACATAATTACCTACTGGGATGCTGCCTGCAGAAAAATTCAAACTTTGGAATGAAATGCCCTGGGGGCATGAATTTCAAAGGGAGATGTTTTCACATAATTTTTTTGCATTAGTTAAACCGATGGATGTGGCTACTGAGACGAGGAGTTAAAGAACATGTTAAGGCTTGATACATCCCCGGGGGAAAAGTTCACGAGGGGCGATGTTTAAAAAAAGAAGAAATTCTCGTAGCGAATTGGACAGAAATGGAAAGGTGAAATTTGACACACGTATAAGTGACGTGATATTATTGAGTTGGGGGAGTATTCAGCTTTCATTGTGCATCCCCTCCTGGCATAACTATTGGGTGGGTCGGCTTTTCCAAACATGATCTTTCAACAGCGAAAAGGGCAAACGTATGAGGATGAAACTGTTGGCAGGTAGTTCTGAGAATTGATTTCGGAATAAAAAAGGCACTTTTCTGTTAAAACGCCCCAGGGCAGAAATATTGCAAAAGGCGTATTTTCTCGAATTTTCTCGATCCAGAAAAACGGAGGGCGCTAGAAAGTTTAAACTTACCAAAGAAGAACCTGATGGCTAGATGAGTAAAGGAAAAAATATACTTTTATTATATATAGATGATCTTGAGAAGCTCATTGATTGACATAAGTCCCAATTCGCATGCTGAGTTCACGAAAAATTCTACGTTGGTGATGCATGCCATAGGGGCATACCTTTTCGGGGAACATATTTTCAAATTGCTTTCTTTGCTTCAATCAAACGGAGACACATGGAAAGCTGAAACTTGGCAAGAACGTGACTACTGACGTACTAAGTTCAGGAAAATGTCAAAATTACCAAAATATTGGAAATTTTGGAGGATATTTCTTGGTGACGTAACGCTTTCAAATAATTTTTTATATCCTACCGAATCGGGCAGAAATAGAAAAGTAGCTGGCACACGTATAAAGGACGTGATGTTGATTTAAACAAGAAAGCAATTATTGTTGTGCGTCTCCTCAGAACGCAGCTTTTCGGTGGGTCGTTTTTCCAAAAATATTTTTTTTTCTGCCAAGAAAAAGGGGAAACGTATAAGGCTGAAATTTGGTGCCATGGAGTTCCCTGAGTCTACATTTTCTTTCTTCTTTCCAACCTAATCACACAACATTTTTTATAAAATCATTACACGATTAATTGTATGGGATGTATTAGACGAGGCACAGCACTTGTCAGGATATTAAACATGTACCTCTCTACTTCGTCAACAGAATTATGCCTGGTAGAGTATCCAATGATAGAGAATGCTGTCGTGTCATTCGATGGATGGAATGGCTCCCACCCCGCCCCCAGGGGGTCCCGTGTAGTCTTCACATGTCCTGAAGGATTCACGGATGGGGCAGCAACGCACAATGCCACCTGCTCTGAAGCCCCTGACACCTGGTGTACTACTTTCCTCGTCTCTGGTGTTCGATGTCCTACATTTGGTTAGAAATCTCCTTCATCTCTGCACATTTCTGGTATTGTACCTTTTCCCTACGATATTCTCTCGATTCACCCTTAGAGCGACATTGAACCTAAACAGAAAAGTGTTCTAACCTCTTCACTGAGTCCCTTCACTAAGTGTCGATGAAACATGATGAAACTTACACAATCAACATATAAGTCAATTCAATCAATAAGAGGTTGTACGAATACTACATCATTTCCTAGAGGAAAGTCTGAAAACTTTCAGATTGCGCATGCATCGAATATGAGGACTCATTCATTTGTTACGATAGCACTTCACAAGGTCTAATGTTTTTGAATATGTAGTATGGGGTTATGAGCATTGAGACCAATCGTCATGAACCGCTCATGAAACCCATAAAAAATGCTCGCAGAACCCAAATACTCTAATCCATTAAAACTCCAATGCTTTGCCATGATACATTTCATCTCTTAATAAAGTGGTGAGGAATAAATTGCTTATAGTTTCTTATGGTCCAAAGTGTTAACTCAGCAACTGCATTCTTAGTATATCCAGAATGCCGGAAGACTGCGGAAGGAAAGGAATACATGGGAAAACGGAACAATACAGAAAACGGAAATAACTGCCTTCGCTGGGATTCCAGACCCTATTCGATACCCAAAGACTTCGAGCTATATTTGCCCTATGATGAACATTTCATCAACGAAGACCCAGGATTTCACGAGAACTTCTGCAGGAATCCCACTTTCAGAGAAAGGCCATGGTGCTTCATTTCGAACCGAGACATAATATGGGAATTCTGCGACATTCCCTTATGTCATGACCTAAGTAAGTTTATGTCCTGTTAGTTCCCACTACCGAATTCATTTTCCAATGCAGCAGGAATAACTGGGGTACCTTAAAATTAAGAAAATAATAACGCCACCGAAGAAGAGCGATCAAGTCATTCCTTGTCGTACCTACACAAAACAACACAATTTTATTGGATTTTGCATATTCCCCTTAGTGAATATCACATTTGTGGACGGGGAAAACTAGGAGCAGTACAGTATTTTACACAAAAAATGATGAAATTGCCAGTGAAGCTGACGGTCGTAAACTCTCCACATTCGACCTTGGGAATCAGGTATCCTTTTTGCTTACTTCCTTCAATATCGCATATGAACCTTCCATTCATTTACCTGAAATTCC